TTTTTTTTTTTTTTTTTGCAAAATTATACTATCTCATTTGTGGATTAGTGTGGATTATTACTACTTTGAGTGAACTATTGAATTTTTAGTGAATTGTAGTTATTTATATATATAAAGTTATTTCTTTCAATTTTTTTGAGATGGAGATATGTATGCTAATTGAAGTGTTATTTCTATTAAATTTATTTCTATTATTGAGTTTGAGATTAATACTGAGATTGATATTGCGATTTAGGTTGAAATGCATTTGGTTATTAAATTAAAATGATATTTATATTGAATTTCTATATATAAAGTTAGTTATTTGAAATTATTGAGATTGAAATTGAGATTGAGATTGAGATGCATTTTGTTATTGAACTAGAATGATATTTATATTGAAAATCTATATATAAAGTTAATTATTTTAAATTATTGAGATTGAGATTCATATGGTTATTAAACTAGAGTAGTATTTATATTTAAATTACGATTAGGATGCATATGATTATTGAATTATGGATATTGACATTTTGATTATTGCGGTTGATATGTTAATATACATTGTCAAATTGAAATTCAGATTAGATAATAAAATGGAGGATTGTAGTTGGATAGATCATTGTGTAGACGATAATGGTTTCATTACTGATGAATTTAAAGAAAAGGTGCAATTTTATTCTCTAGACCCAAAGAAAAATCAGAGATCAAGTGTTCTTGTTTGAAATGTAAATATAGGAAATGGGGGAACCCTGAGGTTGTCTCTATGCGTTTGTGTAAGCATGGGTTTATGAACAATTATTATGCATGGTATATTCATGGAGAAACATCCAACAATCTAGCAAGAAACTTTGGAGTGGAATCTTTTAACATTGAGTTTGTTAGAAATGAGGTAGGTGCAATGTATCATGAAATGGTAGTTGATACAATGGGTCCACAACCTAAATACAATAAGGGACCAATGGCTGAGGAGCCAAATAGTAAGGCAAGAGAATTTTATAATCTTCTATATGCTAAAAAAGTCCATATAGGTGTTGGGGGATAGAATGTTACAGTACTTTCATGAATGGTAGAAATGCTAAACATGAAGACTCTTTATAATATGAGTCTACAATTGTATTGCAATAAATCTAAATTGGAATTGATACCTCAACATGATGGAACGACTATAAAACCCAGTGCTACATATGTTCTTACTCAAGAGAAACGAGCTATTGTCTATCAATGGCTAAAAGAATTAAGATTCCCAGATGGGTATGCATCCAATATAGCATGATGTGTTAACATGTAGAATCTTTGATTGTCATGTATTCATGCAACATCTCTTGCCAATCACTTTTTGTGATCTCCTTATAGATGAAGCTTGGGGTCCTTTAACTGAGGTTAGTAACTGTTTTAGAGCTTTAACTACTCCAATTATTCGAGTCAGTAACATGGAGATGTGGGAGGAAAAAATTGTTGAGACCATTTGCAAGTTAGAAAAAGTATTCCCATTAGCATTCTTTGACTCAATGGAGCATTTGGCAATCCATCTACCATGTGAGGCAAAAGTTGGAAGACCTGTCCAATTTCGTTGGATGTATTCTTTTGAAATGTATATTTCTTCTAATGTATTTACACCACAATAACATTCTTGAGCATGCTTAATAATTCAATCTTATTGATTAAGTTTCTTATTTGTTTAATAGAAAAATGCATGACCTTAAGAAGAAAGTGTTGAATAAAAATCATGTTGAAGCTTCAATTTGCAAGTCTAACAGTCTTTTAGAAATTACTTCTTTTGCTCGCATTATTTTGGATTCGACATAGAGACAAGATTGAATCACCAACCAAGAAACATTGTTGACGGGAATGATGATCTAGGTCATTGTTTATTTGTCTTTAAAAATCGAGGTCAACCTCTAGGTGGAGAAATGTGTAGGCGTGTATTGTCACCCAAAGAATTAAAGGCAACAAAACTTTATGTTTTGGCTTAATTGTGAAGAAGATGATCCATGGATTGCATACGTTTTAGTTCTAAGTTTCATTTTTTAGGTTAATAGTACGTATAGATTGTTTCCTCCAACTTCTTGATGTAGGCTTTTTTATTATCAAGTGTGTTTTGGTCTATTGCCAAATCAAATTCAAATGAAATGACAACTTGAATTTATTCCTTGGTTTAAGATAACGGTATGTAATTCTATTATTAAAACCTCATTTTTTTATTATTTTAGGTTAAATATTAATTTTTTTTTATAATAAATGTAGATGCGTAGTGATGAGTTTAATTTTTATATGCATTTATCTACTCTTTTTGAGCTTAGAATTTAATTTTATGGGTATTTTGTTACTTAGTCTCACATAAATTTACATCAATGTCATTGTTTTGTAAGTGAAGATTAAAATAGACATTAATTTTTCAACAAATGGCCGTTTGCACATGCTGTAGTAATTCAGCCATAACTTTCTCTCCAGATATTGGATTAAGGTGATTCTTGAAGCATTAGAAACCTAAGAAGCAGAGTTACAATTTATCTTTTACAAGCTCAACATAGTTCAATCAGTTTCAAGACAGATTTCTAGTTTGAATGCATGGTTTTAATTGAAGAAGGCTGGGTAGATTGCGACAAAAAAAAAAAAGAGGGAACTGGGCTGTGTTTTCAAGTTGTGGGTTGGTAGCATACTAGGCCCAAAAGATTTAAAGCCCTGGTAGAACATGGGTCGGAAGAAAAAGGAAACAGTTAGGAGAATATTATATATATATATACTTCTCTGCGCAAAAAAAGATGAGGACGTCGTCGCCCTGGCCCTGTTTAGAGATATCTACAGAAAGGTTCTATTTTCCTAATTTTTGTGGCGCACTTTTTAGAAGAAATCTATAGAAAAGGGGACGATCGATGCCACCAAAGCACTGTTTTTGGAGAAATCTGTAGAAGGTCGTCGCCCAAGATTGAGCTGCCTTTGTTTTTCTTTTCTTCTCCGCCAACCTTGCTTGCGAAATCTGGATGGTAGCATGCCATTGAGGAGAAGTTGCAATTCAGTTTTGCTCTTCATTGAAATTGGTTCGGTCATTCTTAATTTGATTTTTACAATGATTCTTTATTAGTTTTTCTTATTTATGGTTGTTCAGAACTTATTTATTTGTAGCTAAATTTTTTGAACTAAGGTTGGATGGATTTTAATTTTGGATTATGTGACTATTTTTTAATTTAATTCAAGATTTATTGGTTATTTGCATGATGAGTTTATGTTATTGAGATTAATGCATTGAAAGTCTGATCAACTTTCAATATCAAAAACTTGAGAAAGAATTGTGTAAATTAGACGAATAATAATATAAAGCGTGTGTTAGACTATGAGACCAAAAGATAATTAGTTCACATGTGGTAGTGGTTAGGAGCTCCCTCTTCTTAACCTAGAGGTTTCCATAGAATTTAACAATAGTTAGTTTGTTTAAAATATGATTAATTTGAAAAACAAGTGAATGATTAGCTTAACTTGAGAAAGTTGATTAATTAATTGAGGAAAATCAGCCATCTTATGCTATAGCATTGTTATTTGAACTTGAATTAGATTAATTAAATAGTTGCATGATTCAGAATTAAATGAAATCTAAGCCCTAGTTCTTTCCTATTCATAGTTTCTTTTAATTGGAAAATTCTTTTAGTTTAAGTAGTTTTATTTTAAATTGTTTAACTTTGTTCCATTAATCAGTTAATTTAACGATTAATATCATCTTGGTAGTGTAGAATAGTCTTCGAGAGAACGATATCTTATTTATCTTATATTACATAGTCGATTAGGTTCACTTGTCTAAAAGTAGTGCATATTTGGGTACATCACGTAGTGGAAGATATGAGGTTAATCCTTGCCTCTTACCTTTAGTAACTGAACCAATTTGTAATGTTAGGGTATATAATGGTTATTGGGTTAATGGATTCCAATTTCATACTATTGCATATGGACAAAATAAAAAGACCATGAATAGTTGTGTTTGTGTGAAGGGAACCACTTTCAATGATAATGAGTTAGATTATTATGGGAGTTTGAAGGAAGTTATCGAATTTCTTCAATTAGTGATTTTGTTTAATTGTGAGTGATATGATATTAACAAAGGCATCGTGGTTCATTTGACATCTCATATAATTGACATAAATCCTCGATTTAACTATAAACAAATGAACCATTTATATTGGTAAGTCAAGGCCAACAAGTGTTTTACACTCTGTAATACCCCAAAATTTCGTGATATTTTAGCATTAAGTTAAGGACTTGATTGTGAGAAAAATATTATGTTGGGGCTTAATAGCAAAATTTGCTAAGTTGAGGGACTTAAAAAGGGAAAAGAATTTGGATAAAGGGATGGCTTCTTTTCTTTTTCTCCTTTTTCTTTCTTTCTTTTCTTCTTCCCAGCCCGCGTGTTCTGCTCCTCTTTTTCTTCCCCTGCACCGAGCAAAAAAAGAAAGGGGGAAACAAGCAAGCCGACAGCCTCCCATGAAGAGAAACCGGTTGAAAGCTTGAAGATTTCTCCTTCTTTTCTTGTTCTAAAACCCAGAAATTCTCCCCCCCTGTTGGAAAATCCGGATCTGCTGCTGCTTCCTCCTCCTCACCGCCGGCTGCTCCTGCTTTGTGGGGGTGAATTGCTCGGTTTTTTGGTAAGAAATTGCTCGAAATTCCCCTTCTCTAGCTTTAATTGGTTTGGGTTTACTCTAAATCCTCTTGGTTTCTCCAAATTTTTTTTGGGTAATTCCGTGAGCTTCCCCCTGCAGATCCCACCGGCCTCCTCCCCAAACTGCACCTCCGATTTTAGATGGAGAATTATGGTATGTGACAGCCCTTTTAAGGCTTAAAATTATCCATTTAATTGTTGCCTTGTGTGTCTGATTTTGCTAGAAAAATGGGAGGAATTCCGGTGACAATTAAGAGCATTTTAAATGTGTTTTGTTGCTTAATTCATGTAGAAATTAGTTAATTGGTTGCTGTGATTTTTGGAGAGAAAATCCCGTGAATTAGCTAGTGTTTTGGCCAATTTTGGAAGTTGGAGTTACTGTTCACGTCGTGGTTACTGTTTACATATTACTGTTCACACACTGAGGGCCAACAATTAATGGAGATTTAAATGATTAGTTTGTGATATAAGAATAAATTTGGAGATATCTGATCATGTGGAGATTGATAGGAAATAGCATCGTGATTAGGGGTAGTCCTAATGATGATTTCAATTTGAATTTGTGGTAGTGCGGAATTAATTCTTGAATATTTGATTAGGTTCTTGATCCTTGGGGTGCTTTAGTACGTGAATTGAGTGCTCGGTTTTATGCGAGTGAGGTAAGTAAATTTATGGTAATGCCCGTATAGTTTTTAAAAGTAAGTTTTGATTTGTTTTTGAAGTGGTGGCGGGACTAAACCCGTTTTACACAAGTATGACTGATTTGAAAAGTGAAATTTTTATACTTTTCATTAAATTGAGCATGCCTACTTGAAATTTAATTGATTGTCATGATAATTTGAAAGTGATTGGTGAATTATGATTTTTCTTTTAACTTATGCCTGTTTTGTCTCCGATGTGGTTATGTTATTGATAACCCTGCTAGTGGGGGTTAAACGCTAGCACATGTCGACATGTATTTCTGTAGAGCCGGTTCCTCTTGCCAGTGGGAGTTGTTAAACATTGGTATTTCTGTAATCCTGCTAGTGGGGGTTAAACACTAGTAATTTCTGTAGCTTGCCAGTGGGAGGTTTAAACATTGGCCATGACCTATAGAGGAGACGTCTATTTCGTTCCCGTATTGTATCCATTTTTCATGATTGCACTTGTTGGCATGCTATAAGTTTAATAAGGGGCACTTCATATTTTACTTACTGAGTTTATCTCAAAGTTTTTCCTTGTCCACCATTTCAAGAAGTGAAACCGAAGACGAGAAAACCACGGGAAATGACGAGTTAAAAGGCTAGCCATTTCGAGATTGATATAGATTTTAGATATAGATCATGACCTTGTAAGCTATATTATATTTGGAGATTTATGATATCAGAGAGATTTTATAATTTGATCTTCAGATTTCGGTGGTATCAGATTGTGATATGATAAGTTCCGAACCTTGTGCATTTGTGGGACTCTCTCACGAGTGCACGGCGTCTGCCACGTCCCCAGATTTGGGTTCTAGGGCATGACACACTCATTATCCATCTCAAAATCCTTGTAGAAAATGGCGGTTTGTAGCATCTAACATTAGTGCAAGAGCAATATTTGATACTTCATCACTGAGTGATGGTGTAAATGAGTATTATCAGGATGATGATCCTCTTATGCCACAATTGGTGCAACCTTTGACTATTTTAGATGATCATGTTTCACTAGCATCTTAGGGGGGAGAATAAGTGGTGATTAGTGAGGTCATACAATTGCCACTTGTGGCAGAGGAAGAATGTGTGGATGAGGATGAATGTGTGGATGAGGATAATGAAAAAGAGGAAGAGTTTGATGAAACGGAAACATCAGAAGAAGAAGTTTCAAATTACTTAACCGAGAGTGATAGTGACTAGATGTATCTTATTTGATATTTTTAATTAATTGAATAAGGGATGAAGGATTAATATTTTCTTTGTTATAAGTTAATAAGTTAAAAAGACATTTTATATTTATATTTATATTAATATACATTTATTAATATTTATATTGGTATTTATAATGAAGTTATTAAGGGATGAAGGATTAATATTTTCTTTGTTATAA